CTTACGGGATTTCTTCTTCCTCCTTTCTTCTCACCAGGAACATATTATATGACCAACTATGCAGGAAGTGCTAAACTTAGAAAGACAGACCTCAAACTCACTGCCTCCAAGTCAGTCAACTCACAGCTGACCCTCCAGTGGGTTTTCAGAGGTAGTATGGGACAAGGGAGGATGTCGTCCATGTTTCCCTTGTGCAGGTGATGGTGGCTTTAAATTGGCTGCTTTACCTCAGCAGTGGAACCCTCTAGACTCCTACCTCGGTTCCTGCCCACATGGAACTCACAGAGATACAGAGAACTTCTATTCTTAATGGCTCTTGAAGATCTTTTTTGACCTCCAACTTGGTACACAGTACAGCTTATATTACAACATAGGCATATGGCCAGATAAACACTCCCAGAATAAAAGTTTTAAAAACTAAAACAGCCTTACTACTGTAATACACAGCCTATTTACTATTCATTAACAATAAAGAAAAAAGGGTCAAAACCCATGAAAGTGAATTTATGACTCTCCTAATGAATTCTGACCTGCTGTTTGAGAAACACTGTCTTGGCACCCCGTTTACCTCTGGCACCGCAGTTCCTTCCCAGCATGCCTCACACGAACCTGACTGCCTGTCTATGAACACCTCCAGAGCAAAAGCTAGTTTGTTCTTTTTCACACCCATCGTACTGAGCACCAAAAAGCCTGGCACAAAAGCTCACCACCAGTAATTGCTAAACATTTATAGAGCAAAATCATGTTATTAGGTGATTTTTTTAATTTTATTTTTAAGGCAGTAACTAATTGTCCTACTAAAACAAAAAACAAAAACAAAACAAACATTAAACAAAGAAAATAAAACAAGATGCAACAAAAACTTAGCAGCAAGTAAATAGAAGCAACTTTCCTACCCACACGGCCTGGAATGTTTCCAAGCTGGACTCACTCAGAGAAATCCACTCCTGCATGCCCTGGCTGAACACAGAGGAAGCTGGCATGATTCTTTATAGGACTTCATACCACTTCTTGGGAAGTCAAGCTCTTAACATACTTAACAAAATTTTGCTTAAAAGCTGCATTGCAGTCCCAAACACACATGGTTTGAGGCATTAGCTGCTCCACAGAAAGATGGACAATCTCTCGTGTAAGTGCCTCTGAAAACCTGCTAGATCAGCTATGGTTTGGTTCTGACTCAACAGTACTTAATAACAACAACAACAACAACAACAAATGATAATAAGGTGCAAACAGTTTGCATATTGGACTGCTTTTGAAAGGCCTGCTCACACCTGATGGAACTCCTGGGTGGTCCAAGCAGTTAATGTGTTGAGCTGATAAAAAGTTAGAGGTTTGATCACCCAGAGGTGCCTGTGAAGAAAGACCTGGCAATCTCCTGCCAATCAATCCGTCCCTGAAAACCCTACGCAGAATAGTTCTTGCATACGCAAGGTGTTGCCATAAGGCAGAGCCAAGTTGATGGCAACTACTGGGGTGGGTGTTCTTTAGGAGAGACTCACCCTTGAGAGAGGGTCTGTGATTTGACTGCAAAGGTTGTGGCTGATACATCAGTGGCCTCTTTCTTTCCCGAGGTCAGCATTTAAGGTGAGAGACTAGGAACGTGGCTCTGCAGGGCCAAACCCGCAGAAGAGGTGCGGCAAACTAGACAGTTTGGATGCGAGATAAAGAGCAGAAACTGAGCTTAAGAAAGAGCTGATTCTTTTCCACATGCTGAGAACAGGCCTCTCTCCCAACAGTGAGGCGCTGTTCCCCGACGAGGCAGAAAGGACCTTGTTTAGGGCTTTGACCTCCATTGAAGGGCAGTGTTCAGACTGGCATCAACATGCAGGGAGAACAAAGAGGCTCCTGAACAGGAACCAGGGATCTGTTTTCCCAGGAGACTATGACACCCAGGGTATGAAGAGGCTGAAACCTACTGAATCAAAGAGCCCTGGCTGAAGAGATGGGACTCTATTTTGTGGAAAAGCTCTTCAAGTAGCTCTGATAAGAGGCCAGATTTCTATTTCTTCAGTTTTCTAGGGGAGGTGAGGTAGGAAAAGACAGAGGTCCAGAGTAGATAACTGACAGTCCCAGTCCTTCCTTAGATGATCACACTGGTTATACAACAGTCAATCAGTAAAGCAGAACCCCACAGGTGTGAGGGTGAAGCAGGTTGGCTCAAGGAGAAACCAAGGCAGACATGCTTAAGAAGGGCCTGAAGCAAACATCAGACATTGGCGAAGAGGCTGGCGAGCATCTTCTTGAAGCCTGAGGAGACTGGAATGCTGAAGCAAAATCAACTGGTTCCAGGCCTTCACCTTGATGACTGGGGGGCAGGTGGTGAAGGTGTATTTCCATTGCTTCAGTCTGGACTGATTTAGAAACTGGACTGTGTTGGGGCCTACAAGTGAGAGTCTGTGATACTCAACCACAAGGTCTGCAAGACACGGCAGAGACAAGAGGCAGGAGCTGACACATCAGCCAAGGCTCGGGCTCACACTCTGTGACATGTTGTTAGTTGCTGCCGAGTGAATTCTGACTCAGTGCAATCCCATGTACTCCATGGGTTTTCAGTGACTGGCTTTTCAGCTAGACCAGCTGGCTGTCTTCTGAGGCCCCTCTACATAGGTGCAAACCAACCTTCTGGCTAGTAGTTGAGTGCTTTACCAAGGGAAAATTCCTTGTGGCTGGCTCCATGCACATCATGGACCTGCCAACATGCGTCTTGACAGGCCATAACAAAGAGAAGGGTCAGGTCTCAGGGGCATCTAGAAATCCTCTTGATCTGGATCCTGATGTGCCGAACTACCCTTATGACGCCGGGATCCCTCAAGTACAACACGGAGATCCTAATACTTGTCCATAAGGATGCTGTGACAATGACATGAGGTAATACTGTGAAACAGTAAGTGCAATTAATTGTAAGTCGGAGCATCTTAACTTTTGAACACTAAGGTGCATCTGATTCAGGCCATGGTCTTTTCAGTCACTTGCTATGTTTCTGAGAGCTGGACAATGAATAAGGATGACAGAAGAAGAATTGATGCCTTTGTGGGGTTGGAGAAGAGCACTGCATATCTCATGGACTGCCAAAAAAATCCAAACACATGTGTCTTGGAAAAAGTACACCCAGAATGCTCCTTTTAGAGGCAAGGACAGCGAGATTTGGGCTCACACATTTCAGGACGTTGCAAGGACAGGCCAGTACTTGGAAAAGGTCATCATGCTTGGAAAGGTGGAGAAGGGTCAGTGAAAGAGAGGAAGACTGCCAATGAGGTGGACTGACACAGTGACTGCAGCAATGGGCTCACACGTATCAGAGAGGATGGCACAGGACAGGACAGGGTTCAGCTCTGTCATTCACAGGATCACTCTAAGTCATACTTGACTTGACGGCACCTAACAACAGCAACAATAACATAAGAGTGCAAGAAGCTGGTATAAGAGATTATTTTTGGGAGGACAGAAAAGTATAGTTGTTAGAAATGTGAGTTAAGTAATCAGACGTGGGTGCAAGCTTTGTCTGTGTTAGTTGACTCTGTTGTGTACCGTCAAGTTGGAACCGACACATAGCTGATCCTCTGGCGGGTGTTTAGAGGCAGTTATTCACATGGGAGGAGACTGCTCATCTCTCTCCCAAAAAGCAGCTGGTGGTTTTGAACTAGGTGTCTTCAGAATTGCAGCACACCTTCTTATTGCTAGGCCACCAGAGCTCCCGGTTGACTCTGGGCAAATAAATACACTCTAAACGTCAATTTGTAAAAGTGGAGATAATCAGCCTTCCGCCGAGGGCAATCTACCCAAAAAAACTGCACTGCTCTCGAGTTGATTCCGATTTTGATAGTGCTCTTCCAGCAGGTTGCCCACACTGGGAATCATTATGGGATGAGCTTGTGGATTTGAACAGTCAACGTTTGGTTAACAGTGCAATACACTATGCCAGCAGAGGACTTCCCTGGGGCAATCTACTTCATTAAATCACTGCTGCTGAGTTATAGATGACCTTCTAGCACATCTCCAGAGCCTTTAAATTGCATAGGAGAAGATTGTCCATCTTTTACCTTGGAGCAGCTCGTGGATTTGAACTGACAGAGAAGTACCACCTTTGGGTAAGCAGCATAGCTCCTTTGGGATAAGCCACCAGAGCTTTCTTTCCAGGGCATAAGTGAAGGTTAACTACTGGGAATATACCCCAAAGAGACCATAATTGACATCCAAGCAGATATATGCACACCCATGTTTATCGCTGCTTAGTTCACAATAGCAAGGAGTTAGAAATAACCTAAGTGCCCATCAACAAATGAATGGATAGAGAAGCGTGGTATAGTCACACAATGGAATACTATGCTGCATTGCAAAACAAGGAACTCATACAATATTATTCAAAATGGGTGACCCTGGAGGACATCATGCTGAGTGAAGTATCTCAGTCACAAAAGGACAAATACTGCATGGTGCCACTGTTGTAAAGCAAGACTGACCTCGGGGTTGGGAGGAGACTGAGAAGGATGGGTTCACTAATGTATACTGCATTGAAACAGATGAGGGAGAAAACTGTTTAAAAGGGAAAATTATTAGGTATTTTTGTCATGACAGAAGTCCAGAGCAAAGGTTGTATAGTGGAGTGGACCTTGGGGGAGGGATTGTAAAACAATGAAAGAATTTTCCTTTTACTTTTCCAAGAGGGTAGTGTACTGGTGGGGAGGGGAGAAAAGTGCAACAATGAATGAATGGAAATCCAAAGTCTCTGTAAATTTTCATTGAAATTAATAATAAATTTTAAAAAATGTAAAAAAAAATATGTATACTAAAAAAAAAAGAAAGAAAAAAGAAGGTTAAAGGAAAGAATGTGTATTTTGTCTGATACCTGGCACATGGTAGTCCCTGATGGATGGTGGCTACTGTCTTCATACTTGTTTTCAAGATACCTGGAGAATTCTGAGCAACGGAATTAGGTAACAGCTGACCAAGGTCCCAACATTGAAAAGCGTGACCTCGGATTCCTAGCTGGTACTTACATCAATAAGGTCAGACAGGTCGTGGATGTAGTACTTGAAGACAGACGCATTGGTTGCTTCCAAAGCCAGCAAATACTCATTCCGGGCTTTAATGGCCTTCAGTTTATTCTCCGTGTACTTGGCTTGGCGCTGAAAAGGGAACAGAAGTTCAGTCTTGTAATTTTTATTTTTTTCTCCTAAAGGGGAGATTGTTCTGAGATGAAAGTACAGTACATTCAAGAACCACAATTATGCTGCTACTCCCAGTGCGCGTCTGCCTTAAATTGGGTCCAATTCTGCTTAATGAGATTCAAGGGCAGAATGTAGATCAATCCAGGAAAGGTTAATGAGGCACCCTATGTCAGATACATGCCCCACTTTGGTTTGTTCTGCAAATGCTGTGCTCCATCCTGGCACCCCCTCTCACCTGAGAGAGATGCCGCCTCCCTGCCCCTGACCACCTGACATCACCAAACGCCACATCTATAGCCCCCCAGGTAACAGGATACTGGGCTCAGTTTGTGAAATGGATTGGGAAAGGTGACTGCTGGTTTGTGTTTATCTGCAAGAAATGAAACACTTGGAGTACACATGCCTCAATTTTTCCAATAACTAGTATTCCCCCAGAAGAGGTAGACAGGGCTCATTTTGGGTCCCTGTAGAAAAGCACAGAGCATTTTAGGAAATTCCCATGGTCCCCCACAGCTCCTCCCAGCCATCAGGCATTCCCCACCTTCTCCTTCATCTTCTCGATCTTCTTCACTGAGCTCCTCCGGACATGCTTCTCTTCAATGCGGACATTGGACGAGGAGTCAGGGGAGCGCGGGGTCTGACGGTCCTCCTGCTTTACCGATTTGCCAATCTGCTTCTCCTCCTGCTTCTCGGCCTCCTTGAGCTTGCTCTGGGCACTGATGCTGTCGGCATTGTACATGTGATATGTCTTCATGACCTGCAAGACACCCCCGCCCACACCCCCAGAGGTCAGGCCAGGGGGATCAATTTGCTGCTTTGGAGACTACCAGGCAAAGCCAGACATCACCCTCACCAAACAATACCCTCATACCCTTAAGGGAAAAACTCAGAAGTGTTTGGCTCAGTAAACATTATATATTAACAACCATTGCAGTATTTTAACTGAGCCAACGGGTCTCGTTATTAAAAGAACTTCATGCCACCATATATTATTTATCCCATGTTATTATCCTTTGTAAGCACTTTTATATCTGCCAAGTGCTTTCAATCGCTCAGTTGCTGTCCCACGATGCTGCGTGGCTAGGAAGTAAAGATAGCTTTTAGCTACCAAGGTCTGGCTAGGAACTCACTCTGCAGAACGTCACTATGTTCTATACCTCTTGAAAGTGGGGGAGAGGAAAAAGCATCAGAGTTCCTTGTCCTGCTTGGACATTCTGGGGAGCTTCATGGCCTGCTTGGTCCAGATCAAGCACCCCCTCTGACTAGAACAGGAATGACATTAAGAATGGCAGGTTCATTTCCTGAGCAGTTAGTTCCTCCAGTGCAGCTTCTCAGTTCATCCTCACACCAATTTCATGATCAAAGCAACAACCCTACAACCACTGTAGAACTGCACAACGGTTCCATAAGACTCTGGGAAGGAATGAAAGCCATGCCAAGTACAACTGGAGTTACCACCGGAAGGATGTAGTATGAAAAAAGATGGGTGTAATTTTCTCGTTTTCCATCAAAGGAGCTGTCTGAGGATCTGAGGAGCGCAGTTCGTTGTGTTAATGAGGAGGCCGAGAAATCTGGAACTAGAGTTTGTTTCAAATCTTCCCTAAGTACTTCCAGCCATGTGGTGCCTGCTCTTCCCTAATGAGCTCTTTTTCCACACAGAGAGCCTCTGGCTTCTATCTGGAAATGAAAGATGCTGGATAACAAACCAAGCAACCTCAAGTTCAAGAGTGCTGAAAGTCTGGTGTCATGAGATTTCTTTGAGAGGGAGGATTAAAGAGTGTAATAGGAATATTGTGTGTGTGTGTGTGTGTGTGTGTGTGTAAGAGAGAGAAACACATGGAGGAGAGAGTGTGCAATACAGTACTAATCCCTAACACTACTTACTCAGTACCTGTTCTGTGCCAAATGTTTTATGACTATGACCTCAGCTGAGCCTCACAGCAACTCTATGCAATGTTACCATTTCTACTTTTAAAGATGAAAGACATAAGGCTCAAAAAGATTGTCTCATCCAACGTTGCACAGCTTGTTCTTAAGTACATCCAAATCAGAACTGACCCACAGCTGAACCTCCTGTGGGTTTCAGAGGCAGTAAATCACATAGGAGAAAGACTGCTCATCTTTCTTCCATGGAGCAGCTGGTGGATTCGAGCCGTGTGCCTCTGAGTGGGCAGTGCTACTCCTTATCACTAAGCTACCAGAGCTCCCTGTTGCACAACTAATAAATTAGAAAACTAGGATTCAAATCCAGATTGGTCAGGCTCCAAGTCCACCCTTGCAGCCACTAAGCAATAGGCTCTCTCCTTCGCACAGGAATGGAGCTAGCGTGGCGGGGAGGAAAAGTTATAGCAATTAAACAAGTGAAAACTATAGATGGTCTAGCCAACCCACGCTGTCTTTTTTTTGCATTAGTATCTAAGGATCTATCATAAGAAAGCCTAGTTATTCAAGTGTCTTTCAGATGTCAGAAAAAAACATCTTCGTAACTCACTAAGGGCCTGCCGTTGGCTGATTCATAATAGCAAACGGTCTGCTGGTGGCAAGAGTAGAGATGCTCAGAAGTTTAAAATGTGCTTGTCGGGTAAAGATCTGAAGCAGCAGGGGATTTAAGTCAGCTGTAAGTGTCCTGAAAAGAGGACATACTCATTTATGAATGTTAGTTAGAGCAGCGGTTCTCCACTGAGGCCTATATTGGCCCTCAGGGGACCTCGGAAATTTTTCAGTTGTTACAACTAGGGGTTTCCTACTAGCACCTAGTGGATAGAGGTCAAGGACGCTAGCAGCTAATCATCTTATGCACAAGACAATCCCTCACCTGACATTATCATTAATGAGGTTAGAGGGATTCTGTGGGTATACAAGTCCTTTAGGATGACCTAGAGATCTGAGAAGGAATTGAGAGTAACAAAAATCAAAGCACCACAGAGTCTACATTATGCTTCATTTTGGACATGGGATGTTTTGAATAAGCTTCACCTTATTTTAAGCCTGATACCATTTCCCAAAAGTATAATAAGCTCTCCTTTGCTTATATTGCATATAGGGGAAGTGGTATTTAACACCTGCTGAACTGATGGCATTAAAAAAAAGCTTTCCTGAATATTTCACACATTCTCCAGGTTGAAAGTGGGAAAGTAGCATCTGTTATCCTGGTTAAAAGAAGGGTAGGCAAGAGGGTTTTTTCAAATTCTTTTCACTCAGAAGAAACCGTCTGACCAAGGAATTGATAAGTCTGAGGGAACAGTAAAAGCAAATGATTGTTAAGTGATTTTTAGCTCAAGAAGATGCATGATAAATGGAGCACTATAAATGAATGTAAAAAAAGAAAAACCAACCTTGCATAAACAGTGTCAACAAGACAACAGATGAGGTTATAAAAAACCCAATCATTTTTATTACTCCATCCCCCAAAGAACGTAAAACTCTGTGAAGGGAGCAAAGCATTCCCAAGCTGTACTTCCCTGAGGAAGGGCATACGCCACCTCTTCTTTTCAAGTGTTCTCTCCTCCTCTGTGGGAAATATGTCATGTACACACTGGTGGTGTAACAGTCAAGGCGGTTACACAAAGGTCTTAACACTAAATCTCTCCTCTGAGAGAAGATGGGAGAATTACTAGTCCCCACAACAAAGGGAAAACTGAGGTACTTTGAGACTGGTGTTTAAATAAAACCCAGCCCAGCCCACTTCCCTTGAGCCAATTCTGACTTACGACAACCAGACACCAGCTTTCTCCTGTAGAGAAGCTAGTGGATTCAAACTGTTGACCTTTTAACACATTACACACTATGCTGCCAGACATCTTGCAGCTTGAACTAGTGAGGCCAAAACAACTGGGCAAATAGGGAAGTCAAGACAGGGCACAGAGAAACACAAAGATGGTTAGGCAAATAAAACCAGAGAGAGGACTCAGAAGACTAAACTTGTAGTTCTCTGGACATCAGTCATTTAACTTTGAAAAACCAAAATACAAGTTCAAAAAACCAAAATACAAGTTCACGTCTTTGCAATTATATGCTGTGCATCAGAGAGCTGAACAATGACTTGGGATGACATAAGAAGAACTGATGCCTTTAAGTTGTGGGCTTGAGATGAGTGTTAAATATACCATGGACTCTCAAAAGAACAAACAGGTCTGTCCTTGAGAGGGTGAAACCAGGCTGCTCCTTGGAGGCTAGGATTGTGAAACTCTGTCTCATATACGTTGGGCAAGTGGCCAGGAGAACCCTGTTCTTGGTTAAGGAAGGACATCATGCTTGGGAGGGTGGAGGAAGACCCTGGATGAGATGGATTGACTCAGTGACTGGGGTAATGGGGGTAGGAGTATCAGAGACAGTGAGACCGGCTTAGGATAGGGCAGGATTCACAACTATTGTACATAGGGTGGCTGTAAGTTGCAGGTGACTTGACAGAACCTAACACCACTACCACCATATTCTCAAGCCCCACTAAAACAATACAAAGCCATTTTTATTACTAAAGATTAACTACCAAGAACAACAAAAAGACCAGAAGTAGAAGCTAAAATAAATTGATGGCAGGCAAGTAATAACTGACTTACTAAATCCTTAATGAAAATCCGTATAAGGCCCAAGAAGCGATAGGAATCCATGACAGGAGTCTTAAGAGGGACTGGTGGCAGAGGTATGAAGGCGAAACTAAACACTAGAGAAATTAGTGAACTTCTATTAAGAACATTCCTTCTTCTATAGTCACAGAAGATTTGAGGTTTACTCTTTCAACAGAAGTCTCTGGACTAGGAGCACCAGCTAGCTGAGGGTTGGGGAACTGGACTAAAGGCAAGAGGATCAACTATAAATGATATGCTGGATTTTGGGACAACTCACCCCCTTTCTCAACTCAGCTCACAGGTATAGACACAAGATCAGAAGCACCTTCTCTGGGGAGTCTGATTATCTAAGACCTAGAAACACTAGTATCTGGAGTTCCTCAAAGACAAAACTCAAGCAGCTGACACTTCACTGAAGTTCTCAAGACTATGCTGAGCCTCCAATCCACTAAGCTGATGGTTTTAGACATTTAAGCACAATACCTAATAAGCATGATTGAGGCTAAAATAAACAACGTAAGCAAACAGAGAGAGGAAAATGTCAAAAATAATCCATCAAGAGTATCTCCAAGGAGCAACAAGAGAAATGAAAGGCACTGTATCACGTAACAAGAGCAGGGTGTTATAAAAAGGACACACAATGAGATTTTGGTAAATCAAGACTCACTTCAACTACGTCACATCAAGGAGCTTTAATTCAATGCTCCTTCTTTGTGCACAAGTGAAAATAGTACTTTTCACCTCCTATTTTCCTTGATGGTTTAATGCACTTTTATGCAGATATCACCTGCCCACTTCTATGTCTGCAAACCTCACAAGTGCTATGTTAATGTTTTTTACCTGTTGCCGTGAAAAATTAGCACAGCATGTTAATAAAAATACCGGTGGGGGACAGGAAGGAGCAATTGGCAAACAAATGTAGAAGATTTCCATTATTTAAATTCAGGGATATCTCTTATTTTTCTGTGTATCCCTAATGCCCCACGCCAAGGACAAACAGGCAAGCAGAGCTGAAATTGCCATTGTTTCAAGGAAACATGCTAAATACCAGTCTGAAGTGGCTCCTCCAGCAGACAGTCAAGGGATGTATATATTCAGGAGAAATAAAAAAAGTGAACCACCACCAGTCTGTCAGTTTGTAGAACTAGAAAGTAGGCCGCTGCTATTTAAAATACCAGCAGGGTCATGTTTTAGTGGCGTTTCCAAACTAAGACCAGGAAGAAAGGCCTGGTGATCTACTCCTAAAAATCAGCTCATGAAAACCCTATAGATGATGGCAGAACACTGTCCAACTAGTTTGCTTTGGACATGTCATCAGAAGCAACCAATCATTAGCTCAGCATGTCTGGTGAGGCAGGTGGCTAGAGCAAGGGTGATGAGAGCCTGAAGGAAATGCACTGGCACAACCATGACCTTGAACATGCCAGTGATCATGAGGAAGATGCAAGACGGGGAAACTGTTGTCTCCTGTTGCACAGCAGGCCAAGGGGTCACGGACGGTAGTTATCTATCTAGCACCTCTAGGAGCAGAAACAGCCCAGACTGTTACAACATCTCTTCTTCCTCTCTGGACTCTTAGAGCTTCCTGGACGACTCCTTACACTCAGCCAGGTTATGTGGCTTCAGTTCCTCTACACATTCTCCTTCCTGTGGGAGGCTATGGAGCGATTCCAGACAAAGCTCTGAGTATAACTGAGGCAGGGAACTGCACAGCTCTTTGGGAGGGAGCGCGCCCCAATTTGAAAGGCATTCCTGGGGCATCAGTCGGAATATGAAAACCACTTAAGCTCTGGCCTCCAAACCACCCAGCTCATCTTGGGGAGAGGGCTGGTTGGCACGTGGCTAAGATGGGGGGGAACACGTGGGGAACTGCTCACTGGCCTTGCTCTCTGAATGGCAGCTGTGGGAAGTGGGCCCTGGCACAGAATGCCAAGTCAGGGAAATGAAAGGCCCTTCAGGCTGAAAAGAGGAAGGTGCAGAGGGGCAGCTGGCCACTTAGGGTGGGAATCTGGAACTCCTGCCAACAGCCTCTTTGTTTGGTAACACCTGGGCCCCATGGATTATCAAGGTTCAAAAGTACTTAAATTACTGGCCCTTAAGCAATCAGTCTCCCAAAAAGAAGTACTTGTGTACGCTAAGGTTAGATGTGAGGTAAGCAGAAACGGAAAGAATAGCTCTCTTTTTTCCAGGGCCCACAAATAACTTCGACTGCCCACAGGGTCACCGAAACAATATACCTTCCTTGACTTCCCAAAGCTGTCTTCTAATGCTTTTGAGAGGGAGTGTATACAGCCAGTATATACTTTCCAAAGATAGTATACAGAAGTCCAACTTCCTCCTTGATGAAACTCACATAGGGTGACAAAATGTGGTTACCCAGGACTTTCCCAGTTTCAGCTCTGAAAACTTTGTGTCTCAGGAAACTTCTCAGTCCCAGTGAACCAAGATAGTCATTCTAATGCCATGGTCTTGGTGATGTAGTAGTAGGTTAAGTGTTGGGCTGATAACTGAAAAGGAGTTAGTTTGAACCCACCAGCTGCTCCTTGGGAGAAAGCTAGGCAGTGACTCCTATAAAGATTTACAGCCTGGAAAATCCAACGGAGGGTCACCATGGGGTGGAATCAACTCAAAGTGGTAGGTTTGGCTTTTTGTTTTATTAGGACCAGTCCAAGGGTTATCTTGCCTTCCAGATGATGGGACTCTATTCCCTGAACCTGCTGATGTTCTGCAGAATCTGCCAACTCATTTAACTCTTAAGTCTAGGATGCTATTTCAGGAAGGATGACTCCTCAATTACCCTAAATGTCAGAGAATACGCAGATGAAATACATAGAGTATTAGAGGATCATAGAGATTAGGGTTATCCCCTCAAATCACATAGCTAGTCAAAATAGGGTAAGAACCAGGTTGCTTAATTAAGGGATCTCTCTATCACGAGATCAGAATTTCTTAATCTTGGCATGACTATTTTGGGCTTATTAATTCTGCAAAATTTGAGCCACATCCCTGGACTCTTTTCTATTAAATGCCAGAACCCTACCCTCCCTCAAGTTGTGACAATTAAAAACGTCTCCAGACATTGCCAAGGGCCTGTGGGAGGCAAGGTCACCTGGCAGCAGGACCACCCTGCCCGCTCTGCCTTCTCTGAAACTTCCCCGTATTCTTGACTTTTTAGTCTCATTTACATTGGTTCCGACAGGGAAAACACCAATTTTCCATTTTGGTCTTGGATAGATTATGAAAGCTTGCAACCAATTTACTTTATGGCAGAAGACGCTATGCCTAGCCAACCCTCCCTCTGAATTAAGTCAAACAGGTTGTGGTCTCACAGTGGCCAGCAGAGCAAGCGGCCAACACCGGATTGCCTAAAAACTAAGCCAGTCAGGCCTTTCTCAGGCCCAAAAAACAAGTTCTAGAATTTTTTCTCTCATTCCAACACAAATTAGAACTCCACACTTAAAGAAAAAAAAGACTTCATATTAGGAGAGTTAAGATTTTCTTCAGCAAAATCCCTGGAAGTGCTTCTTCCTCCACTGTCTGCAGTGACACACTGAGTTTGAGCTGGTCTGAGGCTTGCTGGTCATCCAGCCTACTGCTCCCCAGAAACAGATGCTAACAGCAGAGGCCCAAGGTGTTTAAGGGACAAGAAAAGGATTCTAATAAAGACGACACGTGGCATTTTCTATCTTAGTGGCTCCTTAGCCTGGGGAAGGGAATAATGGCTCTTCTTGGTGCCTCAAAGAGGCTCGGAAATGAAAAAGCAGAAGCCAGGCATGAAAAAGCCAAGGGGTCAAGGTTTCAAGAAACTGAACCAGCCTGAAAATGGTTCCCATCTGTACATTATGTTTGTACAAAGTCTTTTAAACTTCAACTGAGAGAAAGGAAAATGTGGGCGCTCCACCAAAGGGCACCTCTATCTCCTTGGCTTTGGAACACACGAGGTTACAGAGCAGAAATCCAAAACAAGCTGAGCATCACTGGAGACAAGTCAGATGACTACACTGCCATATTTACTTGCTTAACTCGTTGCCATGACAAAAGGGCCACACCTAAGTGCTTGGATCAAGAACATGGAATTCTCTGATCCCACATGCCTATGTTGCATGTCACCAGTGCCTGTTCTTCCTGTGAGCCAAAAAAAAAAAAAAAAGGCAGCAGTGAATAAGCGAGTTAACACGGGAAAGCAATTTCATCTCCAAAACAGGATGGGACAATCCTGGGGGATGACACAAAGGGCAGGCATGGCCCAGCCAGAGACAGGGTCCCAGGAAGGCCCTTGCTGTACAGCAACAGACACTTCCTTGGGGGTGTGTGCATGTGTGCGTGAGACAGTATGTGCCTGAGTGTCTGTTAACATGTAATTAATGAAACATGGCTGAAGGAAAAATCACCACCACCACCTCCCAGCACATAAAGAAACACGCATCAGCCACAGGCATCACGTGCCTGGAGCACAAGCCAGTTGGGAGCCAACTGTGTCCTCTGCTCCAGGCCGGCAGCCTGCTCCTCCACGGAGGCTTGGCCTTGACAAAACCCCAGGGAGCTGATGCAAAGCTCTCTTTGCCTGAACAGGCCCTTGATACTGGGGGCATTTTAAACCGTGCTTCCCTCCAGAACACTGCACTAGTCCTAAACTGGCAGATCAACTCAAGATCTGATGCAAAAGCTTCAGTAAATTCTTAGCATCACGAATGCATTAATAGTGCAATAGGTTTATGCACTTTGCCCTTTGCTTTGGGTCCCAGGGCTAATGGTGTCAGTTGTGTGTGGGATTTTTGGTTCAAATGGAACCAAGGTGAACTTTCACAGCTGAGGAGGAATCTTGTTTGTGGAAAGGATGTCTTGGATCATTTGAGTTTGCATGTGAAAGTGTGAAAAGTCCAGAAGGGTGGGGTCACCCCCAGTGGGGTTATAAGGCAAGTCCTCAGCGTCAGCTCTGTCCTCTTACTGACGTGACGTGGTCACAAGCTGCCAAACGCGGCTTCCCTCTGGTTGTTAGTGAGCAAAGCAGCCCATCTGATTTACCGAGTATAGCTCGTTCAGGACCTTCATCAAATCGTCTTGGAGCTGCTGGCCAACTTCTTTACTCTGCAAGGAAAGAGGAATGAGGGTTAATTGGGAAACAGAAGGAGGGGACAGCCCAGGCAAGAGCAGCCCTGGTTCTACAAACAACCCAGACTCAATTAAGGACCATTATTTAACCTGGCAAATCAGATAACCACTCACATCAGGCCCAATTATGGTCAGATTACTCACAGAGTTTTAATAAAATAAAATGTGCCCCTTCCATAGCTTAGCAAGGCAATTGTGTGGATGGGGAAAGGGTTGAAGTCTTTGGTTTTTTAAATGGTCCCCAGAGAGCAGGCCTGGAAGCCACATCCTACCCAGCAATTGTTGTTAGGAGGAACATGTTTTCTCAGATACACAGAGTCAAGCCCTCCAGCGGGCTGGAGAACGAGGTAAGGCGTGAAATAGAATCAAGATAGAAGATAGTTATAAGGATTTCAAATACCTAACAGAATAGGAAACGCCAGGGAGGAAGGAATTATACCTTTCATTTTCCTTATTTTGGCCCCCAACGCCTTAAACAATAGCACCTGAGTAAAGACAGGCTGCCAGCTTACTTTCAATATTGATAATCTACAGTGAGGCATTTCTAACTAATTAGTCATGAACAGTGATGGCTCTCAGAGTCTTAACTGCCACCACCCAGGACTGGCATCTATGCAGGTGACTATCGCAGAGCAGGATATAGACAGTATGAGGAAGAAGGAAGAAGGAAGGAAGGAAGGAAGAGCTACACCTTCTGCAGTGATTCATGCCAAGCCCAAGGGAACAGGGGATAACACTGATTGGCATTACTGGGTCACTGAGAAGGGAAGCCTCTGAGTCATCTCCTGTCAGCTCCTTCCAATCCTTTACTAAGTACTCAGAAACCAACAACATGTTTCTAACAGAAGGTGCAAGACTGCTAGGCATAGTTCAGGACCCAGGCAAATAAAAAAAGGAAGATGTCTTATATGGTCAGAACACAATCATTATGACTGACTGGAGAGAGACTGCCCAAGATGATAGCCCTGGGTCTTCAAGCCTGTTACTAAAATCATCCTCATGACTCAACTTCCAGCCAAGTAATAGATAAATCTGCAAGGCGATCAGTTGAACATCAGGGAGGAATAAATACACTCCTTAGAACAATCAATCATATACAATTCAAGGACACTAGTTTGCCCAGGGATAAAGCTCAGAAGATAAGAATGTATAGGAAAGAATAAATGGAAACAGGACACACAAGGAAAAACTGGGAATAGTGCTGCCACAAAGCAAGGACTGTCATTAGCATCACAAAACATAATGCATATGAATTATTAAATGGAACACCAATTTGCTCTGTAAACTTTCATTCAAATAACAATTTGTCTTTTTGATTTAAGACTCCTTTTTCAAGATGCATGACTTTATTATTTCTCCTGATAATGAAAATACTATGATATTATTAAAACCTATGAAAGCAGGAAAGAAAAACTCAAACATTTCCCACTGAACAGAGAATGAAAGAAAATTGGTGACTGCACCCCGTTAAAGATGCAAAATTTGAGATACTTAATAAAAACAGAAGACAGTTCTCATCCAGTTCTGTTTTTCACAGGTTTCACTGTGTTCATTTACTGTAATAAATAAGGAAATTTTTAAAAGGACTAAAAGAAAAAAATTTCCTAATTCTTACACTAGAAAAAAAAATTTACATGCATTACTTTGAAGTATATTCTTCTAATCTCTCTCTCATTATTTTTACCAAATTGGAATTGCATTACATACAGACACACACACATACAAACACACAGAGTTTTATGACTATTCTACTTAAACGTATGTGTAAATATTTTCCTAAGTTGCTCTTCTCAAAGACTATAATGCTTTTTATTTATGTAGCTCCTGTTTTTGGACGTGTCCTTCGCTCCCAATTTTTTGTAATAAAAACACCACCGCAGTAAATTACTTTGTATGTAATCTATGCACACATCTTTCATTCTTTCCCCCTGAATTACCCATCTGTTCTCTCTAATTCATAAACCTTAAACATGTGCCTTTGGGGGTAATGCATGACTCCAGCATCCTAGGAGGGGCTTCCGTGCTACCTGCTGTGGAAGGATGGACAGAGAAAGAATGCTGCCGAGGTCTCACCCACAGAAAAGGGGCATTTACTCTCTAGACTACTCATTTATACAATTAAACTGCTCTTGAGAAAATGGTACCAATTTACAATACCACCAGTAGCAATATACCCACTGCCACTGAGCAATATACTCAATGTCAACTCTTACCAATCCCATAGGACAGAGTACAATGGCCCCAGAGCACTTCCAAGGCCATCAGTTGTTAAGGAAGCAGATGGTCCCATATCGCCCTCCCACAGAGCCACTGGTTGGTCTGAACTAGCAATCAGAAGATTTTCTATTCCCAGCTCTTCTGCCGTCAAGTAGACAATTTTGTTGACAACCTGGCGAATAGCTTTTGCTTCCACAAAATGGACGGCTTCAGTTAACAGAGTCTTAAAGTCTTTTCCAATCTGTCTTCTAATAGTTCTACATGCTCTTCCACCTGGATTTTTCAGTCCTTAGTTATCTAGACGCCATCCACTGTAGTAGGTGTACAACTATGAGTGGTTTTACATCACACAGTAGATGATTTACTAAGCAAGTTCTTCTCAGATATTGAGATGCTCTACAAACAGATGGCTTCAAGGGATCTGTTGAGAACCTTAAGTCTATCTTTCCCAAGTCTATCCCTCCAAGGACCTCAATCAACACTGTAAAAGTCCCAGTCTTTCACCTCTGATGCCAACCTTCTCACCAGCCTCCTTCCCATCATAAGGAAAGCTGAGCTCCACAGAAGCAGAAGGGGCTCACGTCGTGAAGTGAGGCAAAATGACTCAACACTGGCCCCAGAGCAGCAACCTGGTCAGGAAGCGACCTACTGTATCCCTTCCCACTGGCCTGCCCTCCCACCTCCAGGTCAGCTCCTCCCGTCAGGCTCATCCACACTCTTTAAATGGTGGAGGTTGCAGGCATAGGCTCCTGTTGATCTACCCTGTTGCTTTACCCAGAGCTGGGGTGGGAGCAGAGACGGCATAACCCATAAAATAACAATTAAGCCCGGGCAGATGTTTCCTTTCATGTACTGATTAGCTGGGAGAAGGACGGATTCAACTATTATCCCTGTTTATTTGAACAGGCTGCTGAAGCGATTCTGACTTACTGCTGTGACTGGGCGCCCTGCAGTGTGCACTATGGGGCTGGACAGGGAATGCACGTGCAGCCAGCTCAGTTCAAACGGGTGATGAAGCCACCAGCAAGTGGGTGCAGATCTGGAAAAGAGGCAGGGAAGGGCCAGAGCCTCTCCTTTCCCACCCTGTTCTGTAATTCAGAAACTATAACCATGCGCCTTTGGGGGAGAGCATGGCCCCAGTGCTCCCCAGGAGGAGTTTTCCGTGCTGGCTGCTGCTGAGGGACTGACAGAGGGAAGCTGTTGGGGCCCCGCCCAAAGACAAGGAGGGCATTGACTCCCTGGAACAAGCAAACCTGATGAGGCAGAGCACAGGACAATGAAAACGGCAGTGCCTTTCCGCTCCTCAGATAAAGCAAAGGGGTTCGAGGCACAGAAGAAACAGCATTTACAGAGCGGTCTTTGTGCACGAGCACACAGTCTGCATCTCTTTTTTTTAAAATTTCTTGGAAGAGAATGAGTCATCTAAACATTGCAGGAAGCCAGAGAGAAGTTGGAGAGAAAAATTACTTTGGGCAAAGTTTTTTTCTCTTTTAAATGTTTGTATAGTAATCTTTGCCTGGAAAAGGAAAAAAAATGCCTAAATTTAGAAAAGAGCTGTGGCGTGGTTAACAGCGCTTACTCTGCAGGGTGGGAAGTGAAATGGTGTGTTAAGGCTGAGAAGTTTTATTCTGAGACTCACCACAAAGCAGGCTTGGTCAGAGCGTGTTGCTCTGGGGCCCGACTCTGCCCCTGTGAGGCGGGGCTGACTGGAAGACTGTTCCTGCCCTCTGTGTGCTCTCAAAATGGCAGGGAATCCTCCTTTGCTACAGATAATAGCATCAGACAACACAACTGAAGGCTCAGCCTCAGCTCTGAACTAGGGAGTGTTGGAAAGCCACCTCACTTACACACAAATGGTAAAGGATAGGGCAACGCAAGCCACAAGGAAACACCAGGCTATGCCAAAAGGCCCCAGGCTGCCGGGCCACCAGGCTGACCGCACCTCAGGGCCACTTTACGTCAACACATTTCCTGAGGTTCCTCAAACCCCCAAAACTTCACCAGTTATAGAAGGAAGACTGCTTGATTGTTTAGCTATTTATTTAAATCAGTATTAGTGAGTCTCCCAAGCTGGGAGTATATAGGAAGGCTGTTGCTCATTTATACAATATAAAGCTATGTTATCTGACAGGCACAAAATTCTCCCCTATTTATGTGAAAGGGGAGATTTAAAAAAAAAAAAAAGCAGCATGGCTGCACCATGTGGTGAGAGCTAATTTCAGCCCCGTCCCAAGGCCGGGTCTGTCAGCAGGTAGAAACAGTAGGGTCATTTAGTTCTTTGCTGATTAGCCTATGTCAGCAGTTTTCCAAAAAAGAATCTAATTTCCAAGGGCACATATCTCCTTCCACCAGTGCTAGCACTCCCCTCCCACTCCAAAGACACTTCAGAGACCAACTGTTTGCAAAATCCAGCTTAAAATGGAATTTACTTTTACAAATTTGGGAAGAAAGGATACGAACCCTATGCTGAGCTCTGGCAGCAGACAGAGGGTGATGGTTTCAGGGTACTCTCTCCTCACTTCAAAGAGGCCAAGTTTCATAAACTGGGGTTTCAGGAAATGCTTTTGGTGAGGGAGACAGGGCTGAAAACAGTCACTGTTTAGTGGCAGGGCCAGTAGCAGGTGACAGTGGGCAGGGTATCTGGTCTGACCACAAATCAACTCAGCCCATCAAAATGGATGGCCCTCTGTGGGGCTACAAACTATAAGGTATTCAGGGGTGCTGATCTAGTAGTGCGAGCTCAAGAATGAAGTTTGGAG